AGTAATGATGAGCACCAAGTCATAGAACAGTTCGATGTAGTATATGAATCAATGACCCATCTTTTGCATTTTAGCTGTGATAGTTCAGATGTCATCATCTCAATGAGGCTCTAGAGAAAAGATTATGATGCTGCCTTTGAATTCAACTTTGGGGATTGGCCTAATATCTGACTATAGATTAATGTCATATCAATACAGTTATTATTAATATTTATTTTATAAAATCAATTGGATAATAAGGAATTTTGTGCCTGACCTTTACTAAATCGATCTAACTAGCCTTAAATTACCTGTGTGTACTGCTAGTCATATATATATATTAAACCATATGTGCATGGTTTAATGTCTTTTTAGTTCATATCATCCACTAATATTCTATAACAGGTCTAGTGCTATTATTTCTTGAAAAATCAGAAATAAAATTTTGAGGCCATTCTCAGATCCCCAGGAGGTTCTTTAAAATCAACAGATTAGAAGTACACTACCCAACAACTATATTAACAAAACTAAATAATTTACTCAGTGATGCTGAGTCTACTCTATCTTGGCTTAGTCAAGAAAAAACAGTTATTTGATCACAAATCATTTGTTCAGTTGGCACAAGCCTCTCAGCCAACAGTGAGACTGAAGAAGACTGAATCATGAAAGGCCTACATATATCTAAGGATTTTTGTGGGAAATCTGTGTCTTTAAAGCTGTTATTGAAATATGCAATAGTGTAAGCATTTCTTGAATAATTTGCCACATTCAGGATCTCTTCTCTTAAATCATCATATTAACATTTATGCATGTCCCAAAACACTATCATTGTTCACAGCAAAGAAAGAACAAGGTCATTTTGGTATGTAGCATTTGACTTTGGTGTTTTGGAAGGATATTGGAAATCACAGTCTTCTAAATTTTCTTGTATGCTATATGCTGCTTCTTATTTATATAACTTCCAAACAACAGACCTGTAGTTCTTATAAGGCAACTCTTAATTATTTATCAATTGAATAACGAAAATATCTGTCTCAATGTGGCATTGATTAAAAAAAATGATAATGCTGATCATCAACTCTTCTAAGGAAAAAAATAACATAAAAATCTTAATGCCCATCTCAATTATGGCATTGTACAAAATTAATGAAGAAAATCATCAAGTTTCTTCCAAGCAAAACAAAGAGGAAGACTGTCTTATAAACAGCTTGTGCTTGATTTTCCTAGCCAGGACTATGCTTGATTATAGCAAAGATTTACTGAAGAAAGCTCTACATTACAGTGAATAAAGGAGTAAATCTGAAGTCTGAAAGGTATGCATTTGGATATCATCTCCATCGTGAACTAGCTGACTAGCACTGGACAAGATAGATAAATATCTCAGGTTCATTTCCTTCATCTATAAAATTTGGACAGTCATATGTACTTTAAAAATTGTTATAAGGATTAAATGAAATAATGTATTTAAGCTCTTTACACCATGTCTAGCAAATATAAATGGTTCAAACAATGGTGGTTTATTATAGCTAGTGATCAATGTTTGCTCTTGTTCTGTAGCTATGAATGAAGAGAATTCAAGCACCATAAACTAGGACATGAGGCATGGCTTTGCCTTTTCTGAAGATTTCCCTCATGTCCATCTTCATGGAAATCATCCTCCTAGAAGTCATCTTCCTAGGTAGAAAATAGCTACTAATGCCTTCTCAGCATTTCCATTAACTTTACCTTATCTACAACATGGTTCTGCTCCCACATGTAAATATACTATATATAATTTATTTCTCTATGAAGTAGGATTAAAGGGTATCTTATTTGTAATGAGAGGCAAAAAACAAAGTAATCTTCCACATTATTTGATACAGATTCTTACAGCTCTAAATATATGTTCTCTGGGATCCTTTAGAAGAAAACTATTTATACAAATGTGGTGTTAAGAGAAAAATATTTTGCATCAAATGTATCTAGAATATGCAATGTTAAATTATGAGGTGTAATCAACAGCACAATTACCAAGTGAAAGTGCCTTTACCGATATTCTGTAGTTTTCATGCTTAAGTTATTTAAAGCAATGTCATTTTGAAGACCATGCAGCCTGTTGAACACAGGCAATGGTATCACCCTTCACCATATTTGGGAAGTCTCTTTTAAACTCAAAGCACAAAGAAGTGTGAATTTTTCTACCCTAAAATATTTTCATACAGCCTCATTACAAGTACCAAGAATGGAAGAAAAATGAGTATAATCAATGCTCTAACAAATCTGCCAAAACAGTAGACGAGCTCAATAAACTAAACTGAAGGAGAGCACCAATGAGTTCAACAGGCACTTAAGCAGAACTGACATTATGTTAGGAAATTAAGAACACTGGCCAGGCATGGTGGCTTACACCTGTAATTCTACCACTTTGGGAGGCTGAGGCAGGAGGATCACTTGAGTTTGAGGTTGCAGTAAGCTTTGATGATGCCATTGTACCCTAGCCCTGGCAACAAAGACTCTGTGTCAAAAAAAAGAACAAAATTGTTGTCTATCTGAATCAGTTGAAGACAATGAAAACAATGAGCTTGAACTTACAAGGGGATTAAAGACAAAAATAAGACAGTAAAATTATCTCCAAATGCTAGGCTAAAACTCCACCACTCCACACACTGCAACCACTATCTCAAAAAAGATTGTCATTGATTACAAAGAAACAAAGCTGTTTATGAAATGAAGCTGCCTCAATCCTACCAATACCCAATAGTGGCAGATGAAGTTATAAATTTTAGCTAAATAAGAATTAAACATGTTTTAAACATAAATTATGAAATTAAATATTATTGTGAAAATGTTGACTACATAAACATGATAGGTAGTGGACGAAAACAACTACAGTAAGAAAATGGATAGGAAGAATGAACTTGCTGGAAAATTGAAAAGCAGAAGATTTGAGCATTGCCTATGCCCTACATTTCTAATCATGATCCTTCCTGGAAGACTTAACATTCTCCATTTACAGAAAATATCCACTCAGTCTATTTCATTATTACTATTATTATTATTGTTATATTTATTGACTGAAGAATATTCCCAAAGAATTTTTCATGAGAACTATAATAACAAAGTAATGAAGATGGTTAGATTTCCAGTGTATTTTAAATAGGCCAACTCAGGAGAAAAGCAAAAATAAAACGAATGAAGCAATGAAATTACAGCAATACTGTGGTGAACTACTATGTGAGTGATATTAATAGGCAGGAAATACATCGCAAGATTGCTGTACTTACAGTCTCGAAAATCTCCTGTTGGACTCCATCTCCAGAACCAGAACTAGGAGGAACACTGGGACTAAAAGCCATGAGGTCGGCCTTGGGCGGGCCCTCCCCAGAGCACACCCTCTGCCGCCTCTGCTGCGAGTGTGACCAGCTCCCCACCGCGCTGGAGCACACCAGCCTGGGCTTGCCCGGCCCGCACGCGCCCTCGCTGGGCGGCGCCGAGCACCGCAGCGCCGTGTACAGCAGCAGCGTGAGCACCAGCAGGCTGGACACCGCGCAGATGGCGATGATCAGGTACACGTTGACATCCACCAGCGCCGCCTCCGGGCCCACAGCGCCCGCCAACGCCCGCGAAGAGGCCTTTGGTGCCTGGGCGCCCTCCACCAGCGACACGAGCACGGTGGCCGTGGCGGTCAGCGCGGGCTCCCCGTGGTCCCTCACCAGCACCAGCAGGCGCTGGCGCGGAGCGTCCGCCTCGTCCAGGGCGCGCGTGTGCTGATCTCGCCGGTGTACAGCCCCACGCGGAACGGCTGGCGCGCGGCTTCCCGCCGCTGGCTCCAGCTCATACGACAGCCACGCGCGTGTAGCCAGAGTCCCGCGTCCACCGCGCGCACCTTCGCCACCACGTGACCTGCGCCCACCATCCGTGACACCACCTCGGTCACAGCGCCAAACGTGCTGCCAACCCGAGCGCCAGCAGCGCTGGCGCATTGTCTTCTCATCCAGCACGAACACCTGCAGCGTCACGTTGCTGCCCAGAGGCGGCACGCCGCGTCGCGCGCGCTCACCTGGAACCGCAGCAGCTCCAGCTCCTCGTGGTCCAGCGGCTGCAGCGCGTACACCTTGCCGCTCTCCGCGTGCACCGACACGTAGCTCGACAGCGCGCGCTCGCCCACCCGCCGCTCCACCAGCGAGTACGACACCCGCGCGTTCTCCTGCGCGTCCGCGTCCCGCGCCGACACCGTGAAGATGTGGCAGCCCGGCGGGTTGTTCTCCTTCACGAACACCGTGTACTCGGGCTGCGCGAAGGCCGGCGCGTTGTCGTTCACGTCGGCCACCTCCACGGACACGCTGGCGGTGGCCCACAGCGAAGGGCAGCCCCGTCCCGCGCCGTCACCACCAACTGGTAGTGGGATATGCTCTCGCGGTCCAGGGTGCTGTCCAGCACCAGCGAATAGTAATTCTTGAAGGTGGACACCAGTTTGAAGGGGACATGGGTGGTCAGGGAGCAGGTCACCTGTCCGTTGGCACCAGAGTCCGGGTCAGTTACGCTAATCAGGGCGATGACGGTCCCCAGTGGAGCATCCTCTCGCACAGCGAGCGATAGTGACGTTATTACTAACTCTGGAGCATTATCATTGATGTCCAAGACTTCTATTAAGATTGTGCAGTGAGCAAACATTGGGGGACTGCCTTTGTCAATAGCCTTTATTTGAATCTTCCATAATTTAGTTTCCTCAAAATCTATTTTTCCATTTACTTTTATTTCTCCGCTGTCTGAATCTATGCGAAAAGAGGCTTCTATGTTTGGGGAGACATCAGCTTCAAAGAAATAAAGAATGTGGCTGTTTGCGCCCTCATCCAAATCAGAGGCGTTAAGTCTAATAACTAGAGTACCGTTTCTTGCATTTTCGAGTAATTTTACGTGATAGACCGCTTTGTCAAACACCGGGGCATTGTCATTTACATCTAGCACCGTGATAAGTATCTCCACCATGCCGGTCAGCTCAGGTTTGCCCCCATCAGTTGCTTTGAGCACCAAGAGAACCTCCGAAGCTACCTCTCTGTCTAAAGGTTTCTTTAATACTAGTTCGAGCGGTTTTACCTGCTCATCGTTGGTTGGTACTTTCAGGGAGAAATACTCACTGGGGCTCAGTCTGTAAGTCAGCAGGGCGTTGGGTCCCCACGTCCGCGTCCGAGGCGCCCTCTAGTGAGAAATGAGAGTCAAGAGCCCTCGTTTCGGAAATAAACAGATTCTTTTGTGTCGCGGGGAACACCGGCGGGTTGTCGTTAATGTCCTTCACCTCCACCTCCACGTGGAACACCTGCAGCGGCCTGTCCACGATCACCTCCAGGTGGATGCTGCACTCCGCGCTCCGCCCGCACAGCTCCTCCCGGTCGATCCGAGAATTCACAAACAAAATGCCATTCTGCAGATTCACCTCCAGAAGGTCCCCGCGGTCCTTGGACGCCACCCGGAACAGGCGCGGCACCAGCTCCGCCAGCTCCAGCCCCAGGTCCTGCGCGACGCGGCCCACGAAGGTGCCGTGCTTGGCCTCCTCGGGGACCGAGTAGCGGAGCTGGCCGCTCCCCGCCTCCCAGAACGCGAGGAGCAGAAGCCAGAGCAGCAGGCGCCAGGCTCCTTGGCCACCTGGTCTGGCAACTAATATCATGCCTCTTTTTTGGTTAGTAAAACAATATTTCATGGCTAGAAAGACGTAATCCGTTTGAGACCTTTCTTTTGATTCCTTGCTGCTGAGGTCCCAGGTGATCTTCACAATAGGGATGTGTTTATAGTCTTTAAAGCACCGGAACAGTGGAGCTTTTTTCTGATCCGGGGATAAGCTGATTTTCTTCTGTTAAAAAAATATATATTCTTGGAGAACAACGACATCCTGTGGCTCAAAATGTAAGTGCGTTTGAGTTCATACTATTTTACTTACCTCGCTTCTTTCCTCATTCCTCCGTATGTGTTCATGTTTTTCTTTGAGGGCTTTTAAGTCTTTCACAATGCCTTTTTTGTGTGTGAGCGGAGCGGTAGCTCTTCAAATGTGGTTTTGTCTTACAAATCAGAATTCCATGAAGAGTTTTATCTTGTATATAGACATCTAAGAGAAAGTACTAGTGTACTAACTATATTATCATGTATATGACTATGAGAAATATCATATTTGTAGAATAATAGTGACAAATTATTTTAGATTTTTTTAAAACTGATCACTTTGGGCTGGCCTTTTATAAAGTTTATTCCTAACACTATAATTTTCTATTGCTTAATCATTATATTATGTTAAATTATTCTAAACATTTGGTCCAATTTTATAGAGGATAACTCAAGATACAAATTCTCTAAGTTGCCTCCTGTACATAATGGGATTTCAAATCAGTGCTGAGAAGCTACTAATCAGTTTATTCAAAGATTTATTTCCTTTTGATGTTAATATATTTACCCAGTACTGACTCTTGGAAACACAAAGTATATTTACTACACTTTATTTCCTTTTAAAGCTTTTTTTAAAATCACTGTATCTGCTCATGGTGAATGTTGTAGTCTTCCTCCTGAAGGATATCTTCAATGTCCTTTATATTCATTGCTTATTTAGCAAAGATAATCCCTTTCTCATTAAAGAAAAAACAGAATCAGGAATTCAAATTATATTTGTTTATACTCACTTTTTTCTAGAATTAGTTTGAGAAGACAAGAATATAAAGGTTATTCAAAGTCTCATTTATTCATTCTATATTATTCCCCTGTTTTATTTCAAATAAAAACATTAAAATTTGTATAACAACTTTATCAATTATAATAAAGTTTATCAGTGTTGTTTTAAAGAAGAAAAAATGTTTTAATCATTCTCAAGACTAAGAAACCAACTATGCAATATCTGAATTCTTCTAGTGATGGAAGCCAGTGAGAAAATCCCATATTTCCCTACTAAAAAACAATTGTAAATGGATACCCAAGGAAATCTTACATTTTATAGAAAAGTGAGCTTCCATCTTTATTTTGAACATGCTCTAAAATAGTGATTCAATGATTATAAATCTATGCCAAAGATTTGTACTTCAATTACTTCTAATTATTTTTTATTGTGAAAGACATAAATTCTAGACCAACATATTGTATAAGGAAAAAGCAACAAAAAATTTAGGATATGGATGTGACTAAATTCAAAGATAGAATTTTTTAAAAACCTCCTTATGTTTGCTGACTGAAAGGACAGAGTATCTTTGAGAATGACTCCAAGCTGAAGGTCCCTTCCATTTTTGGTTTAAAAGATTGCTTCATTACTTAAGTTCATATAAAAGAAAACTTTTAAAGACCCCAAATTCCAAGGTTTTCATATAGCCAATAACTACAGTATTCCAATAAAGCTATGGGTTAGTTACTCATCTCAAAAGAGACTATCACAAATACTATATCAACAAGAATGAAAGAGCACCCAAAATTAGTTCCATTTTAATGTCATCTAATAAAGAATGTGTTAAACATGATTATAAAAGTAATATAGTTCTAAAAGAAATGGACTAGTTTCTTTATTGGCAAGAGTGTGAAAAGCAATCCTTCACTTGGGAGATTTTCTGGTTTTATGCCTCTTAATATTTATCATAATGATAAAACCAGAGTAAGACATTTTCAGACTGAAATCAGTAAAACTTGTCTTTGCTATTTATCAGTTTCTCATTCTGAGTATTCTGTTCATTTCCTCTTCTTTCTACACTTCCTCCTCCATTGATCTTATGATTATTATGCTGCTAGATAAAATGTTAAACTGTGTTACATTTTTGTGAATATTGGTAATTTTAAAGGTGATGTGTCCAAAAGAGGACAAAGTAAAATAAATAAGACTATATTGGTAAATATATAATTCTATGTTTTATTAATAGCTCATAAATAGATATTTTTGGATAAGACTGTTCTGCAAGGGTTGCACATTATAAAGAGCCAATAGACGGGACAGATATAAGGAGAAGGAATTGGATCTACAAGTTGAAATGAAGGATGTTGATAGGTCTGAGGATCCGTGATTACAAAAGCTCATAAAATGCTCAAGTCCAAAAGTAATTAAAAGACATAATTGTTAGTTTGGTAGTGGGAAATCACAATATGAACTTTAGGGAATGAGAAAAGATTGAGCTATCTTTGATTTTAAATAAGGTTCTAACTGCATCTTCTTTGGTTGTGTACTCTAAAACCATTGTTGCTCTGAGTTTAATCAGAGTCCACCTTATAAAAAAATTAATAGCATAAAAAGTTGCTGAATGAAAAAGTCAGAGAACACGAAAATACATGATAACTGAGTACATTTACACCTACACAAGAAAGAAAAGGGAATTATAAAAGTAAAGATATCCACAATTATATATTAATATATAGAATGATGGGCATTCTCTCTTTGAAAGTTAGGGGGCCCAATCAGAATATCTTCACCTTGGAGGTTAAATTACTCCTGAGGCATTTATACTGAAAGACTTGAATTTATATGAATTTAAATTACTATTGATGGAAAGATTAATGCACCTGCAGAACTGAGACTTTTATGATAGACAAGTTCTTATCAAAGTAAGAGAAGATACTTTGGGTTGATGTAAAACATTCAGGGGGATTTTTTTCAAATATGTTAGGGAAAAGCATATATTCCTAAACATATTTGTTATTGTAACAAATGCATTTTAAACTCTGCATTAACTATCATCTATAATCTCTAAGGGCTAGAAACAAGCCATCAAAAGTAATTGAAGGCAAATCCATGCTTAAATTCCTGCCACAATTGTCTTTTTTTGTATTCTTAAACTTGAATAATGATTTCAATTTTTCTTGGAAGTTATTATTATATCTTGGAAGTTATGAAGCACATACTGAATAACACATTGAATCTCCATACCGAAAGAGAAAGGGAAAGGAAAAAGTAATTGCTAATAATTAGAGTCAAGATGATAAATTAGTTGCATTGGTATTTGGTAACACACTAGAATTAATAATTTTATTTAATATGAAAGTATAGGTGTCAGGTAACAACCAACTTTAGAAAAGCATAACTGATAGGGTCATTTGGCCAACATGCAATCTAAATGGCTTGCATTTCTCAGTCTATATCATCCAACCCAATCCTATTTAAGATGACTGGAGAAGCTATTAAACTAAACTTTGCTGTATGATATCAGATCAGTAAAAAACATTGTAAGAGGGTGATTCAACTTTCTCTTCAGACTTCTAATATAAATGTGAACTAAAGTAAGCATTTTCAATCTCCTTGAAATTAAAAGGGGTTTTCCAATGCTCCCTATTATCAAACATAATCATGATTCCTTCCTCAAAGTGAAAGAAGTAATTCTTGAACATTGTAAGCAATGCCTAATTCTGAAAAGGAGCAGATAATGAAGAGCTGCTGGATAAAATTATGTAAATCAGTATGAAAAGCCATTTTTCTTCTTCTAAGGAAAGTGAATAATACACACTGGCACAGGTACCACTACTACTAAAATAAGAACAAAAACACATCTTTAAAGCTCATTTTTAACTTAATTCCTGAGATTAGGAAATTTTTAGCAGTGAACTGCTGTTCTATATACTGCACTATCAAGGAAAAAACATAATCACTGAATATAGAGACTTAGTATGTCCCTATAAGTTATGCTGCACTACACATATTCTATACTTACAAAACAAAAAACCCCCCACATTTTCATTAAAAGGAGTTATTGATCAGGGGAATCTTTTTGTTAATACAATAGGGTCAAATAAAAATTTAGATTTGAAAATGAAGTAAACATGAATTAAAGTACTGATCTTACAAATATTTGTAACAAAAAAGAAATTATGAAAAGGAATAATCAAAACTGCAACCTATATCAAATACTTCTATTGTAAAATATTAGTGCATTCAGAAAAAAATTGTCATTTTAAAATTAAAGTACCAAGCAAAGGTTGACATATTGCATAGGATAGACAAAGTATAAAATGCAATTCTGCAATAAACCATACTATATTACAAAGATATTACTAGAAATATTTGATTATAAATGGTATGCAAAGAATAAAAATATTCTGAGATACATATTTGAGAAAAATGCGGTGAGAGAAAATATTCTTCACAACGCCAAATACGAAAATGAAAATATAACAACTCACCTTCCTAGACTGGTTCCCTCCAACAGACTGATCATCTTCCACTTCCACTTCTACCACTGGGCAGGGCGGAAGGCTGGGGCTGAAGGCCATGAGATCCGTCTTAGGCAGGCCCTCCCCAGAGCACACCCTCTGCTGCGAGTGTGACCAGCTCCCCACCGCGCTGGAGCACACCAGCCTGGGCTTGCCCGGCCCGCACGCGCCCTCGCTGGGCGGCGCCGAGCACCGCAGCGCCGTGTACAGCAGCAGCGTGAGCACCAGCAGGCTGGACACCGCGCAGATGGCGATGATCAGGTACACGTTGACATCCACCAGCGCCGCCTCCGGGCCCACAGGACTCGCCAACGCCCGCGAAGAGGCTTTTGGAGCCTGACTGCTCTCCACCAGCGACACGAGCACGGTGGCCGTGGCGGTCAGCGCGGGCTCCCCGTGGTCCTTCACCAGCACAAGCAGGCGCTGGCGCGGCGCGTCCGCCTCGTCCAGGGCGCGCGTCGTGCTGATCTCGCCGGTGTACAGCCCCACGCGGAACGGGCTGCGCGCGCTTCCCGCCGCTGGCTCCAGCTCATACGACAGCCACGCGTTGTAGCCAGAGTCCGCGTCCACCGCGCGCACCTTCGCCACCACGTGGCCCGCGCCCACCATCCGCGACACCGCCTCGGTCACAGCGCCAAACGTGCTGCCAACCCGAGGCGCCAGCAGCGCTGGCGCATTGTCATTCTCATCCAGCACGAACACCTGCAGCGTCACGTTGCTGCCCAGAGGCGGCACGCCCGCGTCCCGCGCGCTCACCTGGAACCGCAGCAGCTCCAGCTCCTCGTGGTCCAGCGGCTGCAGCGCGTACACCTTGCCGCTCTCCGCGTGCACCGACACGTAGCTCGACAGCGCGCGCTCGCCCACCCGCCGCTCCACCAGCGAGTACGACACCCGCGCGTTCTCCTGCGCGTCCGCGTCCCGCGCCGACACCGTGAAGATGTGGCAGCCCGGCGGGTTGTTCTCCTTCACGAACACCGTGTACTCGGGCTGCGCGAAGGCCGGCGCGTTGTCGTTCACGTCGGCCACCTCCACCGACACGCTGGCGGTGGCCCACAGCGAAGGCGAGCCCCCGTCCCGGGCTGTCACCACCAGATCATAGTCGGATATGCTCTCGCGGTCCAGGGGGCTGTCTAGCACCAAAGAATAATAATTCTTATAGGTGGACACCAGCTTGAAGGGGACGTGGGGCATCAGGGAGCAAGTGACCTGTCCGTTGGCGCCAGAGTCACGGTCAGACACGCTGATCAGGGCGATGACAGTGCCCACCAGAGCATCTTCTTTCACTGGGAGCGACAAAGAAGTGACAACCACCTCCGGTGAATTATCATTTTCATCCAGTAGTTCCACTACGACGGTGCAGTGACCAACCATAGGTGGGTTTCCTTTGTCTGTAACATCTACATGAATTTCATAAGTGTTACTATCCTCAAAGTCGATAGCATCATTTACTTTTATCTCTCCCGTCCTTTCATTTATCTGAAATTTCGTCCTTATCGTGGGTGGAACCAAAGAGCTGAATGAATACATCATTTCCTTGTTTATTCCTTCATCCGCGTCAGAAGCGTTAAGCCATATTACTAACGTTTGGTTCGCCTGATTTTCATACATCTTAACTTCATAAACGGGTCTGTCAAATACAGGGGCATTATCGTTGGCATCTAACACCAGGATCAGCAGAGAAACAGATCCGGTAAATTCGGGTTTGCCTCCATCAGTCGCTGTCAGTATCAACTTAAGCTGCGGATTTTCTTCACGATCTAGCAGTTTTCGCAGAACAAGCACTGGGAATTTGTCTTTATCTTTTTTTTTAATAACATCAAGAAGGAAAAACTCATTCGGACTGAGTTTGTAGGTAAGCATTGCGTTCTCGCCAACATCTGCATCAGACGCGCCTTCTAGCGGAAATCGAGAGTCAAGCAGTCTAGATTCAGGTATTGACAGCTTTTGTTCTTTTACGGAGAACGTGGGCGGGTTGTCATTAATGTCCCTCACCTCCACCTCCACGTGGAACACCTGCAGCGGCCTGTCCACGATCACCTCCAGGTGGATGCTGCACTCCGCGCTCCGCCCGCACAGCTCCTCCCGGTCGATCCGAGAATTCACAAACAAAATGCCATTCTGCAGATTCACCTCCAGAAGGTCCCCGCGGTCCTTGGACGCCACCCGGAACAGGCGCGGCACCAGCTCCGCCAGCTCCAGCCCCAGGTCCTGCGCGACGCGGCCCACGAAGGTGCCGTGCTTGGCCTCCTCGGGGACCGAGTAGTGGAGCTGGCCGCTCCCCGCCTCCCAGAACGCCAGGAGCAGGAGCGAGAGCAGCAAACACCGGGCTGCCGGGCTGCTCCATCTGAAGACCATCTTACCTTTCTCTTGTTTTTTCAAATCGATGAATCCGCAGTCAAGAACGCACGCACGTTCGGATAGTTCCTGTACGATTTCTTACATCCACTTTTTATCGAAATGGCTGAGATCTCAGATTGTAGCTACTTCCTAGTCCTTGAGAAGCAGTTATGCCTTTGTTCTGAAAAGCTATTTTGTGGACGACAGCGACATCCGGTGGTTTTATGTGTAAGTACAATTAAATAGTTCACAACTTTTCTTTCATTCATATATTTTAATTCTCTTTTTACGTATTTTTATCTCTATGGACTTTCAAAGCTTCACGTTACATCTCTTTTGTACATAATAATAATCAATGTAGATCCTCAGTGCAACTCTTTTAAAATGTAGAATCTTGGAGAAGTAATTCTTTCCTTATCTACATGATTATTGCTAGCTAAATTTCAAAATGCCCTCAATATTTGCATACCAGACTGTACCAGTATTCTGTCCCATAACAAGTTTAGGTCTCTTTAAGTTCTGATAATTCACTTCTCTTTCTCATTAATGAGATTCGATAAACCTCATTTAGACACTTATTCTCAATTGTCAATTATCTGCCAGGTGTTTGTAATTCCTAATTCTAGCAATCACTAGAATTTAAAAGAGATTACTGGATTCAACATCAGACATTTCTCCATTTAGATTCCTATCATACTACTTACTAGCCATGTGACTTTGGGGAAATCATTTAACCTCTCCCTGCCTTGCTTTCACTTTTATAAGATTGGCACAATAATAATATGGTGGTTATGTGAATTATGATCTATTAGGTGCCCAAAATAGTACCTAAGGAAAGTGAGTGCTTCATAAACGGGAACTATTCTCAGACCTCAGTTTGACCACATTTGTTTTCATGATGCTTAAAACCAAATTTGGTTCCTCAGGAAAAATTATTACCTATAGAATGTTGTCACTCTACAATGCCTTAATTATTGCTACTGCACAGTCTGAGGGTGGAGATTCCTGTCTTTAAGAAAACAGAAAAGTACTTTTATTGATGGATGAATCAGTTATATAGGGAGAAGTTGTACTTTATATCTTACCTGGGCAAAAAGATCTGAATTATTATTCTAAATTAATAATAACAAACTTATGATTGCCACTTTCAGAGATAAGTGCTTTCATCCCTGTCATATTTAAGCTTTTCAAATATCCAAAAGATACCATTCTTGAATTTATCTAATAATTTTATCAATGTCAATAAAGTTTTTCACCACCATCTGCAGTAAAAATGTTTTTTTCTCTCTCTCAAATTTCTTCGAATCAAATACTCAAGAATCAAAATTCTTTACTAATAGAACTCTGCTGCTGAAAAAAATTGAGTTTTCTAGTTTTCCAGAAAAGGAAAACTTAATATCAGAACCTTTGGTCTTATACAAAGGTTGATTTCTTTTATTTAATGATGTTATGATTTGTAAAGGAGATATTTTTAAATGTATAAATAACTTTTAAATTCCCTTTTGTTATTAAAGTCTAAAAAATAAAGCAACAATATTTATTAATAAGAAAATTGACAGGAATGAGCGTCACTCAATCCATCATTTTATGTGTCCTACTAAATTGTTTTTATACTTCTTTACTTCTTTGGAATGACTCTAGTGTCAAAATCCATTCAAATTCCAATTTTAGGGATTGCTTTCTTATAAAGCATGGATTAAAATGTAATGAGTTATCTATCCACAATATCAATGTTCAGCTTCAGCTACTATCTGGAGTCTAAAAATAAGTTTATCATTGATTAATCATCTCAACACAAGATAATAAAAACTAAGCCCCATTTCTGCTAATGTGCATTTTATACCAAGTAATAACATAAATAGCCCAATATAGATCTGCAATATTGAATAAAAAGTAGGGAGTAGTGAAATTACATCTTTTTAAGTGATAGGAACTTGCTTTGTCAAGCATCAAATAGGACTATGAATTTAAAACTTCAGTTGTATAAGAATCACCTCAAGTACTCTTTAAAATGCAAATTTTCCCATATTACTCATTTTGGAAATTCCGAAGAGGAGTTTTGAACCAGTATGTTTAATGAGGACTGAAGGTGTTGCTAATGCATTCATCATTAGCAGGTCTAAAGATAGCCTCACCCTAGAACCCAGTTTGCCTGAGACAGGTTCAGATTATGTCTGTGGTTTTGTATGCTTATTGACAGTGCCCCTTTTACTCTCAAAAGTGTTAACATATTGGATGATCATTTATTTTGCCCCATCTAGTAACAATTTGAGAAGAATTGGCAAGGAGAACTTTCGTTATTGGCTTCATAATTCTGGCTTGAATTAAGGAATGTTACCTACAGAAGCATACAAGAACAGCTATTAGGCAAAAATACTTAAGTTTCTTTCATGGTCTCACCTCTCTGTTTTGAAATTGCCAGCCTTTTGAATTTTAATTTCCCTGGACCCCACTGAGTTCATGTTTCCTGAAGACCTCAAAAGATAAATGCATTACTAAGGTGTTCACAGCTCTTATGAGAATTTGCATATGGAACTACCCCACACTCTAGGACAAAATAGAGATTAATATAAGGGGCTAAATTACCAATTGCATAAATGCTCAATAATTACTAGCTCTAAGAGACTAGGGGACTTGTTTTGGGGGGAAAATAACATTTATAGCACTCCTCAGTTCATATCAAATACTTAGGCCCAAGTTCAAATGGCACATTCAACCTGGATAAAAGTGCAAAGACAGAGATTTTTGAAAGTATGGGTCCAGATTCAAGGTGAGCTGTATAGGTAGACATAGGTTTAATGACAGGAAACCAGAAACTACTCAAGTTTTGAAAGAAATAAAATGAAAAAAATAGATTGTATTGTAGTGTATTCCAAACATGTATTTTAGGTGAAAATAAAAATTTTGAAATATTTTATTTTAAATAAATTTTACTTGCATTTTCATATTTATTATTGTAGCTCTCTTCTCAAGACTACCCTGATTTTGCTTCACTGAGTTTTTAATTAGAGAATACCTTGTAAGATACATGACACAATATAAAATTAAATAGCTAAAAGAGAAAGAAATATAAATCACATAAAACCTCAACATAAGTATGAGTAAAGATTTAAAAACATGAATTAGAAAATAAAAAGATAGCTTGGACTAAAAGTAGAGTGTGAAGAACCACCAATTTGAAAGTCACAAACTACAATCCCGGAAATAAAATATAACATGTAGTGACATCAAAGGTGCAAATCCCATACCCAGATTCCTGTCCTGTGGACTACTGAGAGAAAAATCAAATCCTTGTCAAACATGGTAGTGGAATTTTTTAAGTTATAGAGCATGGATTTCAAGAGGACTCAATGTGTAGAGTCTTTATGTGCCTGAGCATTTAATCACTAAACTAAGAAGATTTCAATAAAAAGGAGAATGTCTTTTTGAAGGAAGAAAAGACCTATCAGGAAGTATTTTCTCCCATTTCAGTAAACTATTGAATTTCAAGAAATTTTTAAATGTAGAAAAGATTGTCAACCAACCAATGTCAACCAACATTTTCTTATAATCTACATTGTCAGATGTTTAGGGGAATATTTTATACAACTAGAAATGACGGTTTTATTTGTAACACTTATTGATGGAATTTGTTTCCTAAAGTAGAGAGCAATGGCTTTCTAGAGTTTAGGGGAATTTCCTTATGGAAATAATAGACACTGAGGTGTGCCAAACAATCATATCTTTACAGTCTCCATCCAGAGAAATATGCAGAATGACAAAATATAACAAGGTAAAAATTACTATATATTTCTGCTAGGGTTTCTTATGAAAAATAGAGCTAGACTGAAATTCCATGCATAATTTAGAAAAATATACAATAGAGTGGTGTTGATCTTAACTGAATGAGTAACGACTAAATTGGTTTCTCACCTAATAGTTTTCAAGTGCTATAGCAGCTCAGCATCAGAAATTCATTGTCACCCTCAACACAGGTTTAAATAAAATTGATTCAGCACCCAATAAATATCTGTTTAATGAACAGTTTATGGCAATTCTCACTAGGAAAGACAAAAGATAAAAGTCTGATCTGAAGTTAAGGAAATTTTAAAAATCGGGCAAATTTCTAAAAACAAACCATTTTTAAAGCCATTTAAATATGCCGTAGGAAGTACTAAAAATATATTCCAAGAATAAATAAATAATTATATAAACAAATAAAATACAAGGAAAACCCACCTTTCCAGAGGAGTCCAAAGAAGCAGATGGTTCTCCGGTTTTATCTGCAGGTCCAGGACACGGAGACAGACCAGGGCTGAAGGCCATGAGGTCCGCCTTGGGCGGACCCTCCCCAGAGCACACCCTCTGCCTCCTCTGCTGCGAGTGTGACCAGCTCCCCACCGCGCTGGAGCACACCAGCCTGGGCTTGCCCGGCCCGCACGCGCCCTCGCTGGGCGGCGCCGAGCACCGCAGCGCCGTGTACAGCAGCAGCGTGAGCACCAGCAGGCTGGACACCGCGCAGATGGCGATGATCAGGTACACGTTGACATCCACCAGCGCCGCCTCCGGGCCCACAGCGCTCGCTGACGCCCGAGAAGAAGCCTTCGGCGCCTGCCACTCTCCAAGCGACACGAGCACGGTGGCCGTGGCGGTCAGGCGCGGGCTCCCGTGGTCCTCACCAGCACCAGCAGGCGCTGGCGCGGCGCGTCCGCCTCGTCCAGGGCGCGCGTTCGTGCTGATCTCGGCGGTGTACAGCCCACGCGGAACGGGCTGGCGCAGCTTCCCGCACTGGCTCCCTCATACGACAGCCCACGGTTGTAGCCAGCTCGCGTCCACCGCGCGCACCTTCGCCACCACGTGGCCCGCGCCCACAGACCGTGACAACAGCTCACTCACTGTGCCGCCGATGCCACCCACACGAGGCGCCAGCAGTTCCGGAGCGTTGTCGTTCTCATCCAGCACGAACACCGGAGCGTCACGTTGCTTGCCCAGAGGCGGCACGCCCGCGTCGCGCGCGCTCACCTGGAACCGCAGCAGCTCCAGCTCCTCGTGGTCCAGCGGCTGCAGCGCGTACACCTTGCCGCTCTCCGCGTGCACCGACACGTAGCTCGACAGCGCGCGCTCGCCCACCCGCCGCTCCACCAGCGAGTACGACACCCGCGCGTTCTCCTGCGCGTCCGCGTCCCGCGCCGACACCGTGAAGATGTGGCAGCCCGGGGTTGTTCTTCTTACGCAACACCGTGTACTCGGGCTGCGCGAAGGCCGGCGCGTTGTCGTTCACGTCGGCCACCTCCAGCACGCTGGGGTGGCCCACAGCGAAGGCGAGCCCCCGTCCCGGGCTGTCACCACCAGCTCATAGGCGGAAACAGTCTCCCGGTCCAGGGCGCCGTCCAACACCAAGGAATAGTAATTCTTGAAGGTGGACGCCAGCTTAAAGGGGACGGAAGGTGTCAGGGAACAGGTCACCTGTCCATTTGCACCTGCATCTAGGTCAGTCACGCTGACAAGGGCGATAACTGTTCCCATTTGTGCATTCTCTTTTACTGGAAGCCAGAGTTTTGACAGTCAGCTGTGGAGCATTGTCGTTCACATCCACAACCTCCACAAGAACTGTACAGTGACCAGCCAGTGGTGGGAACCCTTTATCAGTAGCCTCTACTTGAATCTTGTGGGCTTTACTTTCTTCAAAATCAATTAGTCCTATCACGGTAATTTCCCCACTTATGGGGTCTATGTGGAACTTGGATTTTATATCTGGAGAAGCATCACTAGAGAATGAATAAATAATGTCCCATTCAAGCCTTCGTCTGAATCTGAGGCATTGAGTTTAATTACCAACGTTCCATTGGGGACATTTTCTGGCAACTTCACTTTGTAGAGGGTCCTGTCGAAAACTGGGGCATTGTCATTTACATCCAGTACCGTGATGAGTAACTGAACGGTGCCAGTCAGTTCGGGTTTGCCCCCATCGGTGGCCATGAGCAATAAATGAAGCTCCGGGGCCTCTTCCCTGTCTAAAGGCTTCCGTATTACAAGCCCCAGAGGTTTTACCTGCTCATCCTTGGTTGGTACATCCAGGGAGAAATACTCGTTGGGGCTCAGTCTGTAAGTGAGCAGGGCGTTCTCCCCGATATCCGCATCCGAGGCGCCCTCTAGTGGAAACCGAGAGTCGAGCGGCCTGGATTCCGCGATGATGAGATTCTTTTGTGTCGCTGGGAACACGGGCGGGTTGTCATTAATGTCCTTCACCTCCACCTCCACGTGGAACACCTGCAGCGCCTGTCCACGATCATCCTCAGGTGGATGCTTGCACTCGCGCTCCGCCCGCACAGCTCCTCCCGGTCGATCCGAGAATTCACAAACAAAATGCCATTCTGCAGATTCACCTCCAGAAGGTCCCCGCGGCCTTTGGAATCCAACTGTAACGGGCGCTGCACCAGCTCCGCCAGCTGTAGCTCCAAATCCTGCACGATGCGGCCCACAAAGGTGCCGTGCTTGGCCTCCTCCGGGACCGAGTAGTGGAGCTGGCAGCCCCCCGCCTCCCAGATTGCTAGAATCAGAAGCGAGAGCAGTAGATTCCGGGCCTCTGGGTCTCCTTGACCTGAGCACAACATTTCAAGTACTTGATCTTTTTCTAATTGCTGAGAAATGCCTCAAAATCATGAGAAATCATGTGATTTCGTCAGTCCCATTCTGCTAGGGTCGCCATTGTTCAGCAGAGAGAGAGTAAAAGAGAACGGGACGTCTCACTCGTGGGAAAAAAAGGATGACTGTATTTGTCTTGATTCAGAGAGAACATCGCGGCAAAGAGTGACATCACGTGGCCCAAAGTGTAAGTACAAATTTCATCAGTAAACATTCCTCCATTATTCTGCAAAACTTTATTCCATTCTTTTAATTTTTCAAAATTAATCATTGTTGAAATAGAAGACCTTGTTTCTCTTACTAGAGGCGTTCTTAGCAGACTGACCACCTCTAAAAGTTTAGTATGGACTTGAGTGTGCCTTCTTAGGTGCAGAAAGCTTTCCACGTCATTTGTAAATGACAGAAATGAAGTCACAACAAAAAGGATTCATTCATTCAAACAAGCATGAATTTTAAATGAGAAAATTATTTTGTTCTGAAATTCAGAATCTCCCATATGTATCCATTTGGCATTCTGGTGTAAGAGAACTCAACAAGTCACTATCCCTACTGAACCTAGGGACCCAGAAACCTACTGATGAAAAAGAAACCTGCTCGTGTCTGAAAAAAGAAATCAAGAAAAATGAGCAAACAATTGAAGTAGTTTTCTCTCGTAATTTTATGAATTGAAGATGTATAAAATATTTCAAGAAAAGTAAGATCTTGTGTGGACAGAAAATATTTTAGATTTCTCTCTTTGTTAGCATTTATATAATCTGTTTCCAGAAACATATTGCATTCCTACATCTATATAGTGTGATCCTTTACAAGCCTTATCATTTGTAATAATCTCTTCTTTATAATCTCCAACATCGTTTGTACATTTCTATGCATTGTTTCTGTGATACGTTTTAATTTCATTATTGTTCATCCTTAGTGCTTAGAGTGATTTTTGTTTTTAAAGATATGCTAAGGATTCTTTTCCTGCCTAGGTTCTACAAGGCTCTTTTGTGAGTTTTATTATCTTATTACAAAGTGGAAGTAGATCAAGTAAATCTAGACTGTAGTGCTTCTTAAGTCTAAAGGCAAAATCATGACCATTTATTATGATATTGATGTTTTTACATATCTATCTTTTCTTTCACATTCTTACTGATAATAGCCTAAGGGACACTTTCACAACTGCTGCTATCCTTGATTATTGCAGTAGCTTGTTTGTTCTCCCATTCAACCTTCTTGAAAAGGCCTTGAGTTATTTTGCTCAAAATATTTTGATAGCTCCCAATTAATTCTAAAGAGAAATCAAAATTCCTTAATCTGCTTGAAGTCTCTAAGTCTAGTGGTCAAAATCAAGAGATTTTCTCACATTACTTTTTCTGCCTTTATAAGTAGATTTTTCCATATTTCCAGTCATATTGATTCTTTTCTTTGTCTTCAATTTTGCTTATTTTCTTCTTCACAGAAATGTCCATTATTCTCAATATTCTCCCAGGGGAAATTTATCCATATAAAAAACACTGAGAACACTACGCTCCTTCAGGTGTTTCTTCAAAAAGTCAATTAGGAAGTGATTTTCTTTCAACTTCAACCTCATTATTATTTACCTCCTTCATGCTTGTTATAATGCCTTCCATTCCATTGTATGACTCGTATTCTTCATTTTACCTCAAACTTTTGAAGCCAGAGGCTGTATTTTGATAATTCAGTGATTTCTGTCTGGCAGGATGAAATACTCTTAGAGACGTGTAAGGACCCTATTTAATGTTTAATGAAGACTGGTGATTATAGTCTTCTCTACTTGCTAAGAAAGCACATTTTAAAAGTTATTTTATAACACTGTCCATACGAATGGTTTACTTCCCCATCATCAAAATATTATTGTGTACTTCTTCTTAAGAAAAACACTATTAGTGAAAAGAAACACACAAAGATTTCAAACACCTACTCAGACCTCTGAGAGATCTCAGGCAACTTGTAAATTTGGGAAAGATACAACTGTTAACATAAGGTAGTCTAAACTTTCCTTGAGGGCACTTTAATCTTTGTAGTCCCAAACTTTTTTCCACATTCATGGAATTTGACTTTCTAGAACGTGTAAAAACTGACATTTAGATTTTTTACTCTACCATACAATGTTCAAAATATTGAGACATCCTAAGTTAATCTGAAAATGACTTTATAAAAGATAATTTTTTGCATGAAATAAGATGAATGTGGAAGACCATAATGACTTTCTGACATTTTAGGTTGTCTTTTTGCAACCAGTAATTTATTTTCCTCTTGGATATAATACTAACTAAATTTTATTATGTTCTTATCACTTGCCAGACATTATTATAAACAATTTATAAATATTAACTTGCTTGATTAAAAAAACTATGCAGGAGAATTTATACTTATCATGCATAAATGAAAACCAAGGAACTGAATAACAAACCCTTTACCTAAGGCTACATACACATAAAACAATTAGTACAGGGAGAATTTGATCCAGGGAGCTCTAGAACTCACAGTACTTAATTACTGATTTATGATGAATTTCAATTTAAGAAATAGTTAATAGCTAAAAGCATTACCATAGTTAGAATAGTGAAAAGTATTAACATACCAGCAATAGGTTTAGACTCTCTCACTGTGAAAAGCATATATCCAAAATGAAATTTGAATATCAGTTAGAGAGTTGGAGAAACACAGAATTAAACTGATTGAAATGATGAGCTGTCAAATACAATGGTAGGTGGTGAAAAGTACCCTTATTTCTATTTAGGGTATTTTATAAAAACCAATTAAACATTTAGGAGGAAAATTTAGTAATTAAAGTCATACCTGAGAACCAGGTAGATATAGATAGAATAGGAAATATAAGAGTAATATTACTTTCACAAAGCAAAAACTCCACATTCTATTCAAACAGTATAATAAAGATAAGCGTATAAAAAATAAAAAAGCTCTTAAAGTTGGGGACTCAAATTAAAATGATTCATTTTATGTAATGTGTTTTTAATAGCCAAATAAAATTCTAAACATGAACAGGGATTATGAAAAATATAAAATCAAGCACAAAATAATTCTGCTTTCAGATTACTTTCAGTTGGCAAGGGGGATAAAATATGATCATAAATAATTACACTACTGCTTCCTAAGTGATAAAAAGATTTAAAGCTATGTTAACAGCAAACTATAAGAATTCAGAGTCCCAGAAACCCTTCAATCCTTTCCATTAAGTTCCACCAAAGTGTAATGTCATGTCTCCAAAAAGTAATGTCTTCAAAATCCAATGGGTATTTAATATCAAGGCAGGTCAAACAATCATAAGAAGCAAGGGTAAGAAGACAAGAAGAAGAACTAAAAATAGAAAAGGTTGAAAGACAAAAAAAATAAAGGATTTTGGACTTTTTGAAGATTTATTCCAGAATATTAAATGTTTCTACATGAACTAATGGTCTCTGCTCATCCTGGATATTCTGTGTAATGAAGATTTTTAAGTTATATATTTGGTCTGTGGGACTGGAATTAACATGTACAATTTTTCTGATTAAAATATTCTAAGTCATATATTAAACATTACTTTAATGTGAAATATTATTTATAACACTCCAACTCATGTGCAAAGGATTGATAGTATGATTAGAGTTTATCCAATATTTATCAGTCTAAAAGCAACTATTTTGTACACATAGAAGCTCAAAAAATGTTAAATTGTCAACAAGACAGCTGTAAAAAATCATCCAAGAGTAAAAAAAAAAAAAACTCCAGATAGTAAAATGTTCTAAATGATATTGGAATAAAAGTAATATATTTACTCCCTCTTGATTTTATTTTAGCTAGTTCATAATAAAATTAGGAAGAAAATTAAAACTATGAAATTCTGAAAAGAAATTATTATTCTGTACTTTATGTCTAAACTGCTTAAAACTGCAATAGAGAAACACTGAAGATATTTGTGACTACCAGACACTAAAAAGACAAAAATGGATAAAAAGATACATTTCTACAAAGTTCCAAATGCACTGGATGTCACCAGAGCCTCATCAAGAGAAAACCGACATCAAGAGAAGACCAGTGTAACACATGCTAAAATCAATATTCAGTACAAAAGGAACTATCCAATGATAACTGGAGTTTGAGAGCAAACCCAGCTTGTAGAGAATGGTTAATAATGTATTACAGCACTAATAAACATTAATTATAAGATTTTTAAAAATTAAAACAAAGTTTGCATTTTGACTCTAAAATATGCCTCCCAAAAGTGAAATCGTTTTAAAGTAATTTTATTTTCCACAAATAGACTTTGTAATTTGTAAATATAAATGGACTTACTTTGAGGTCAGGATCGATATTTAAATCTTGCTGTTCGCCTACATCCCCTGATCCTGGACACGGTGGCAGGCTGGGGCTGAAGGCCATGAGGTCGGCCTTGGGCGGACCCTCCCCAGAGCACACCCTCTGCCGCCTCTGCTGCGAGTGTGACCAGCTCCCCACCGCGCTGGAGCACACCAGCCTGGGCTTGCCCGGCCCGCACGCGCCCTCGCTGGGCGGCGCCGAGCACCGCAGCGCCGTGTACAGCAGCAGCGTGAGCACCAGCAGGCTGGACACCGCGCAGATGGCGATGATCAGGTACACGTTCACATCACAGGGCCGCCTCCGGGCCCACAGGACCGCCAACGCCCGCGAAGAGCCTCGGAGCCTGGTGCTCCACCAGCGACAGGAGCACGGTGGCCGTGGCGGTCAGCGCGGGCTCCCCGTGGTCCCTCACCAGCACCAGCAGGCGCTGGCGCGGCGCGTCCGCCTCGTCCAGGGCGCGCGTCGTGCTGATCTCGCCGGTGTACAGCCCCACGCGGAACGGGCTGCGCGCGCTTCCCGCCGCCGCTCCAGCTCATACGACAGCCACGCGTTGTAGCCAGAGTCCGCGTCCACCGCGCGCACCTTCGCCACCACGTGGCCCGCGCCCACCATCCGCGACACCACCTCGGTCACAGCGCCAAACGTGCTGCCAGCCCGAGGCGCCAGCAGCGCTGGCGCGTTGTCGTTCTCATCCAGCACGAACACCTGCAGCGTCACGTTGCTGCCCAGAGGCGGCACGCCGCGGTCGCGCGCGCTCACCTGGAACCCCAGCAGCTCCAGCTCCTCGTGGTCCAGCGGCTGCAGGCGTACACCTTGCCCTCTCCGCGTGCACCGACACGTAGCTCGACAGCGCGCGCTCGCCCACCCGCCGCTCCACCAGCGAGTACGACACCCGCGCGTTCTCCTGCGCGTCCGCGTCCCGCGCCGACACCGTGAAGATGTGGCAGCCCGGCGGGTTGTTCTCCTTCACGAACACCGTGTACTCGGGCTGCGCGAAGGCCGGCGCGTTGTCGTTCACGTCGGCCACCTCCACGGACACGCTGGCGGTGGCCCACAGCGAAGGCGAGCCCCCGTCCCGCGCAGTCACCACCAGATCATAGGACGACACGCTCTCACGGTCCAGGGGGCTGTCCAGCACCAGCGAATAGTAATTCCTGAAGGTGGACACCAGTTTGAAGGGGACGTGGGGCGTCAGGGAGCAGGTCACCTGTCCGTTTGCACCTGAGTCAAGGTCGTTCACCCTAATTAGGGCGATGACAGTACCGAATTGAGCATCCTCTCGCACAGGCAAGGATAAGGAAGTCAATGCAATCTCAGGGGCATTATCATTTTTATCCAAAACTCTCACTAACACAGTGCAATGACCTGCCATCGGAGGGTGACCTTTGTCCGTCGCGTCAATGCGGATTTTGTATAAATTTACTTGTTCAAAATCCAAATTACCTTGAACCACTATTTCTCCAGTATTTGGATCTACGCTAAACTGGTCGGTAACCATGGTTGAAACAAGGCTATTAAAGGAGTATGAAATTGCCGCGTTCACTCCTTCATCCCGATCAGAAGCATTCAGTCTGATGACTGTTGTTCCGTTGTCCGAGTTTTCAAATATTTTTATTTCATATTCAGACTGTTCGAAAGTGGGAGCATTGTCGTTCACATCCAGCACGGTGACCAGCAGCTGAACGGTGCCGGTAAGCTCAGGTTTGCCTCCATCCGTGGCTGTCAGCAGTAAGTTGTGTGCCGAAGCGTCCTCTCTGTCCAAGGGTTTTCTTAACACAAGCTCAACCAGTTTATTTTCGTCGTTCTTTGAATTGACGTCTAGCGCGAAGTAATCACTGGAGCTAAGCCTGTAGGTTAAAACGCAGTTAGCTCCAATGTCAGCATCGGACGCGCCCTCTAGCGGAAAGCGTGAGTCTGGCATTCTGGATTCATAAACAAACAGCTTTTGTTCTTCTAATGGGAACACGGGCGGGTTGTCGTTAATGTCCCTCACCTCCACCTCCACATGAAACACCTGCAGCGGCCTGTCCACGATCACCTCCAGGTGGATGCTGCACCCCGCGCTCCGCCCGCACAGCTCCTCCCGGTCGATCCGAGAATTCACAAACAAAATGCCATTCTGCAGATTCACCTCCAGAAGGTCCCCGCGGCCTTTGGACGCCACCCGGAACAGGCGCGGCACCAGCTCCGCCAGCTCCAGCCCCAGGTCCTGCGCGACGCGGCCCACGAAGGTGCCGTGCTTGGCCTCCTCGGGGACCGAGTAGCGGAGCTGGCCGCTCCCCGCCTCCCACGCTGCAAGGAGCAGAAGAGAGAGCAGCAGGCGCCGGGATCCCGGGTTTGCTCGACAGGAATACACCATGTTAAGTACTAGTTTCCTATCAGAAAATCTTGTTTTAGTTTCAAGATGAACTATTGTATTTTCTGCAGCCTATTAATCCAATTCCGCGGTGTCTGCCATTGTCCGGCTTTCAGAGACAGATACTGTCAGAGGAACGACTTTGGGTCTTGGCTCGCCAGAACTTCTTGGTAGACAGCGACATCATGTGGTTCCAAAAGGTAATGATTACCTGAATTACCTCCGCAATATTTAGTATTTTTTAGTATATTTACTTCTAGTATACTTTTAGTATATTTATTATATTTTCTTCCCCTTTATCATACTTTAACAGAACTTTCTTGACTTTATCAAGTGCAGAGGCATGTATACCGTCTGGTTTCTTACAATAACTTAGCTTCAGCTAGTGATCTTTCTTCATAGTAAAAGGAGTTTCTTCCCAGGATTTTTTAAATTGGTATCAATTAGTAATAAAATTAAATTTGATCCAGATACATCATGGATATCAGAAGCGTAGACTATCTTCCATACTTTTATGTGGAAGGAATGTGGTAATATTTATCTAGTCACAGGAAACAGTGGTATGCATTACTCTTAGCTGAGCATATAATTCTACAGTTTCTATATTATATCTTCTTGTGGATTATTATTAAATTTCTGCTTTTCTTCATTCGATGAATGTCAAATTTTCTAAACAGTTTTATTTACTAATGTAAGAAAAATTAAAGCATATTCTTTACAATATTTCTTGATATCTCTGCAGCTGGTTAAAATAGGCATCTCACTTAAAATACTTTCCTTCATAGATTTCTCTGTCACAACAAACCCTGGCAGTATTTCTACCATTGGGTTCTCTGCTGGTTCTTCTTCTTTCTGCTGCTCCAAAATATGAATATTTTCCGAAGTTATACCTTTAGCTGTCTTATTTTTCCCATCCTTTTAAGTGTTTCTGTTAATATTTCCGTGCCTTCAAACTAGCTTATTATTTGAAATATTCTTAAGTCTATATCTACAAACACCTATTTTCATTTTCTACGTCAGTTGTCCACAACTTTTTTGGCACCAGGGACCGGTTTCATGGAAGACAATTTTTCCACAGATGGGGGACAGGGCTGGGAGGCAGAGCTCAGGCGGTGGTAGGAGCAATGGGGAGTGGGGAGTGGCTGTAAATGCAGATGAAGTTTGGCTTGCTAGCTAGCCTGCCTGCCATTCACCTCTTGCTGTGCATGGGGGGGGGGCACAACTTTCATAGAAAACAATTTTTCCATGGACTTGGGGTGGATGTGGTGGGCGGAAGAGCTCTATGGCCTGGTCCCTAACAGGCTACCCCAGCAGGTTAGGGACCACAGTTCTACATGACATTTTTACCAGTATACCCTAACATCACCTAAAAACAACTTGACGAAAATCAAAAGACTATCTAATCAATAATGACCCAAAATCTAAATCTTCCCAAAAGATCACAATTTATAGCATGGCTATTCTCCAAATGGACATATACATATTTTTATGATTCTTTTTCCCTTGCCTACCATACTTAAACTTTCTGTATATCCCAGTTCTCCTTTCATATGTCATAATTTTTGTCTTTATGAGTACTGTTTTCATTGCATTGCAGTAAAATTTGTATTGAGTTTGCCTTTCTATTGATCAATTGTCAAGATGTTAGATTCACATTTAGGAGATACATACATGACCATGAGCCAATCCTCTCAGCGTGCTGACTAACCACTTTCCAATATGCATCGTATTTTACAGAAAAGATATTCTCTTCCTCAACAAACTCTTTGTTCAAAGTTTTTCTTCTATTATTTCATCTATACCTGACAAAATTCTACCCACCCTTCAAAGTCCACCTCAAAAGTAAATTCTCCATGAATTCACCATGAATGCCTACATTGTACGTACTTAATAGCTCCTTTGAATGTCTAGAAAATCTTTACAAAAAACCAAGTAAAATAGAAAAGATGAAGATAGACATTTTCTTGGAAACTATTTTAATTTGTCCTCACATTATGTACTCAAAGGCTATGTCTATAGTTGATCCTAAATAATAGCAAAAGTTTTGCAAAGAAAATAGCATTACTCGATACCTTTGTGAAGACTTTTTTACCAACAAGAAAAAATTCCAGAGCCATGACATAAGTCAAAGAGTTTGAACATCTGAAAAATAATTAAGCTTTTTTAAAAAAGTAATGATGAGGCCGGGCGCGGTGGCTCATGCCTGTAATCCTAGCACTCTGGGAGGCCGAGGCGGGCGGATTGCTCGAGGTCAGGAGTTCGAAACCAGCCTGAGCAAGAGCGAGACCCTGTCTCTACTATAAATAGAAAGAAATTAATTGGCCAACTAATATATATATAAAAAATCAGCCGGGCATGGTGGCACATGCCTGTAGTCCCAGCTACTTGGGAGGCTGAGGCAGGAGGATTACTTGAGCCCAGGAGTTTGAGGTTGCTGTGAGCTAGGCTGACGTCTCGGCACTCACTCTAGCCTGGGCAACAAGCGAGACTCTGTCTCAAAAAAAAAAAAAAAAAGTAATGATGGTTGATGAATATAGATTGGGGGGCTGAGGAGGATCCTCTATCAACTTCTAGCATTTCCCAAGATAAGTAGGACTTTTTAAATTTCTTAATAACATGCCAGTAAGATTTTTTGAAAAATATATACATGTAAACATAAAAGAAAAATAAGTAAATCAATAAAAACAGAATTACAATTACCATCATAGAAAGTCTAGAATACTTATAGATTTTTTCAAAAAAAAACTGGCATTATTTAACAGGAGCAGCAAATTTGGTCTCTTTATGATGAATGCGAATTTGCTGCTGGACAGTACATAATTCTGTTGATTATTGAACAAGTTCTTGAGTTTGTATACCTCTAACTTTATTCACATTGAAAACAAAAAAAGCAAGATATCCAAAAATGACTTCCTAAAGTATAGTGGGATTTTACCATCTGTGAAAGTTGAAACAATCATTTCTAAAGAACCTAATTATTTGTAAATTTTAAAAATGAGTTTGGACAATTAAGTCATTATTTTCTTAATGTCATTAAAGAGAACTGCATGAATAAATCATGACATACCCATATAATAAAATAAGATGTAGACATTAAAAGACTGAAAAAATCAAATAAGTAAAAAGAATGAGGAAATGCTTATGAAATAATATGACACAAAAAGCAATATATAAAGTGGAAAAATAAAAGGTGTAGAAGAGTAAGGTTTACAGTGCAATTACTTGTTTTTTTAATAAAGAAAGAGCCCAGCAAGGTGGCTCACTGCAGGTAATACATAATCCTAGTACTTTGAGGGGCCAAGGCAGAAGGATTTCTTGGGGCCAGAATCTCTTTTTTTTTTTTTTTTTTTGCACCTTAAAATAACCTTTTTTTTTTAAGTTAATATATGCAATATAGGAAACTGAAAAACACGAGAAACAAAGAACAAAGTCATCCACAATCACAAGCATTTCACAGTTGGACATGTCCTTCTAGATCCTGACACATACACAACATCCAATTTTATGGGATTGAGATAGTACAGTATACATCATGCTTTTTCACACACCATGAATATTTACCAATCGAAAATCTCAAAGCTATGAGTGTTTTTTGTTATTTCATAGGGCCAGAATCTCTTAATACCAGTCTGGGCAACACAGCAAGACCCTGTCTCTACAAAAAATAAAAACAAAAAATTAGTCCACTGTGGTGGCTCACACCTGTAGCCCTAACTAATCTGGAGACTGAGCCAAGAGGATTGTTTGGGCCCAGAAGTTTTAGGTTGCAGGGAGCTATGATTGTACCACTGCACTCTAGCCCCATTGAAAGAACTAGACCTTCCCTAAAATAAATAAATAAATGAAAGGTAGATTATAAACACACACATATACATGACTTTGTAATATATAAAAGAAACCAAAATTGCTTCAGGAATTTAGAAAGGTAAAGTGAATGGTTGAGGATTGGAGGTAGCAAGGAGACTTTTCACTACATACTATATTCCATTCTTTGAAATTTTGGAGGTGAATACATTATACAAACAAGGAACACAATAAAACAAGTTTCCTTGTTTCCACAATAAAACTTGTTTCCTATACAAAAAAGGAACACAATAAAAAACTATTGAACTGTAATTTAAACTGTATTGTTGACTAGTGAATATTAATTCATCATGAATATGGCAAATCCAATTCAACAAAGTTTTAAAAAGTCAGTACCACACAAATATAGTGAGGAAGAGAAGATAAATTGATATAATAAGAAATTAAAATAATTCAAGTACTACACTAAACATAAATGGGCAAAATTAAGCAGATGATGTTGAAACAGTTATATGTTTCATAAAATTAGGACAATATATAGAATAAATGTTAGGTCAAAATATATCTTAAAATTTTTTTACTGTAACATTTATGAAGACTGACTAGAAAGAATGTATTTGTAAACTTTGGATTTTGGAAATACACTATAAAATAGAAAGATGAATCCATAATTTCAACTAGCAAAATCTTCCACCAAAAATAGAAAGTGAGCAACATAAATCACGGATTTTAATCTAAAGGATTACATGGCCCCAAACCAAAAGTACATGTTAAACATGAATATAAGTCTGAATACTTAATTAGGACAAACACAGCACAACACTTAAGATGTATGTGTGTGTATATATATATATATATATATAGTATGTATGAACTAAAAAAGAAAAGAAAAAATAACATGTGGAATATGTAAGTAGAAAAGCTAAAATAATTACTTTTAAATTGTTGGAAATAAGAGTATTATGACTCACGTTATCTGCCGAAGTGGGACCCTGAGGAAGGCTGGGGCTGAAGGCTATGAGGTCCGTCTTGGGCGGACCCTCCCCAGAGCACACCCTCTGCCGCCTCTGCTGCGAGTGTGACCAGCTCCCCACCGCGCTGGAGCACACCAGCCTGGGCTTGCCCGGCCCGCACGCGCCCTCGCTGGGCGGCGCCGAGCACCGCAGCGCCGTGTACAGCAGCAGCGTGAGCACCAGCAGGCTGGACACCGCGCAGATGGCAATGATCAGGTACACGTTCACATCCACCAGCGCCGCCTCCTGAGCCACCCCGCCCTCGAATGCCCGTGAAGAGGCCTTTGCCGCGTGGCCGCTCTCCACCAGCGACACCAACACGGTGGCCGTGGCCGTCAGCGCGGGCTCGCCGTGATCCTTCACCAGCACGACTAGGTGCTGGCGCGAAGAGTCTGCTTCCTCCAGGGCGCGCGTGGTGCTGATCTCGCCGGTGTACAGCCCCACGCGGAAAGGGCTGCGCGCACCACCCACCGCCTGCTGCAGCTCATACGACAGCCACGCGTTGTAGCCAGAGTCTGCGTCCACCGCGCGCACCTTCGCCACCACGTGGCCCGCCCCCACAGACCGTGACACCACCTCGTTCACTAGGCCAACGCCGCTGCCACCTCGAGGCGCCAGGAGCGCTGGCGCGTTGTCATTCTCATCCAGCACGAACACCTGCAGCGTCACGTTGCTGCCCAGAGGCGGCACGCCCGCGTCGCGCGCGCTCACCTGGAACCGCAGCAGCTCCAGCTCCTCGTGGTCCAGCGGCTGCAGCGCGTACACCTTGCCGCTCTCCGCGTGCACCGACACGTAGCTCCAGCGAGTACGACACCCGCGCGTTCTCCTGCGCGTCCGCGTCCCGCGCCGACACCGTGAAGATGTGGCAGCCCGGCGGGTTGTTCTCCTTCACGAACACCGTGTACTCGGGCTGCGCGAAGGCCGGCGCGTTGTCGTTCACGTCGGCCACCTCCACGGACACGCTGGCGGTGGCCCACAGCGAAGGCGAGCCCCCGTCCCGCGCGGTCACCACCAGATCATAGACGGAAACAGTCTCCCGGTCCAGGGCGCCGTCCAACACCAGCGAATAGTAATTCTTGAAGGTGGACACAAGCTTGAAGGGAACTTGGGGAGTCAGGGAGCAGGTCACCCGAGCGTTGGCTCCGAAATCTAGGTCAACAACGCTAATCAGTGTGATGACTGTGCCTGGCTGGGCGTTCTCTGAGATAGGGAGGGACAGTGAAGTGA